CCCCCCCCCCCCCCGGCCCCGCCAGGTCAGTGCTATTGGAAGCTGCTATACATTTGTGAACAGATGTTATTGTTACCTTGCTGACACATATTACAGAAGGTCGTGTTCTTTAGGAACAATTTTATGTTTCTTTTTTGTTTAGTGTGTATGTATATGCATGGGTGCACGCTTATGTCTCCACAAAAGGAGGTCAGAAAACTTGGGGAGTCGGCTCTTTGCTTTCTCCATGTGGATCCTAGACGTTGGACTGAGGTCATCAGGCTTGACGGCAAGTGTCCTTTCATAGGTTTGTATTGAGAAGCTATATGCAACCCTCTGACAGAGTCAAGCTATGTCCTTTGGATGTGGCTGGCAGAGACCAAGGGTTTTGCATATACTAAGCAAGTGCTTCCCCCAGGCAACAACTATCCCCAGCTCTGAGACAAATGTTTTTAAGAAAATAAAGTATAGTCTGCATACTTAATTTCTCCATAATCTCTTCATCTGTCATCTTGGCTTTCTTTTTCTGTTTGTCTGAAGACTTGGCACCACCATCAACATTAGAATCACCAACTGGAGCAGGAATAGGGTCAATGACAGACCGTGTGTAAATCTGCAAAGAAATAGTTCATTGCTGAAACTTGAGAGAAAACATTATCACATGGTCTTGGTAGCAGAAAATGCATCCTTTGGACCTTTTTTTTTTTTTTTTTTACTTAGCAAAACTAAGTTATTTTTCCCACTGTTTGGAAGAATGGGACAGTGTATTCACACAAGAAACACATGGGGGCTGGAGAGATGGCTCAGAGGTTAAGAGCATTGCCTGCTCTTCCAAAGGTCCTGAGTTCAATTCCCAGCAACCACATGGTGGCTCACAACCATCTGTAAAGAGGTCTGGTGCCCTCTTCTGGTCTGCAGGCATACAGACAGAATATTTTAATAAATAATTTTTTTTTTTTTTTTTGATTTTCGAGACAGGGCTTCTCAGTAGCTTTTGGTTCCTGTCCTGGAACTAGCTCTTGTAGACTAGGCTGGCATTGAACTCACAGAGATCTGCCTTCCTCTGCCTCCAGAGTGCTGGGATTAAAGGCGTGTGCGGCCATAAATAAATATTTAAAAAAAAAAAAAAAAGAAACACATAACTGCCAAGCATAGTGTACATGTCTGTAAGCTTAACACTCAGGAGGCAGATACAGCAAGGATAGCTTGGGCTACAAAAAGATCCAGTTATAAATACTCCCACCTCCCTAAATCATGTAACCAGGAAATAATGAATATCTTTTTTGACACAGCATGTATGTATTTTGAAAGTATCTAGCAAAATAGGTCTATAAAATTCCGTATCTAACAAACTGAGAACAATGTAATGAAAGAAGCACACGTTACTTCTCCAAAGGACCTAGATTCAATTCCCAGCACCCATATGGCTGCTCATAACCACCTATAACACAGTTCCAGAGGATCTGATGCCGTTTTCTGACTTCCATAGGCATCAGGTACAATGTGGTACACAGATACACACCCAGGCAAAATAGTCACACACATAAAATAAAAATAATAAATAAATAAAAAGCACACCTGCAGCCAGGGATGGTACACACACCTCTATCTGGGTGCCTGAGAAACAGGCAGGAGGATCAAGAGTTCTGGGCCAGCCTCAGCTACATACTGCCTAGACCACATGAGAACCTGTCTCAAAACAAAAACAAAACAAACCCAGCACAGCTTAGGAACAGAAAAGAGTAAGAGTCTTGATGTTGAAATAACTCTAACCACCTCCCCCCGTAAGTTTTACAAACTCGACATTGATTGTTCCCTTTCCAACAGCCAGTCCTAAATCATAAAGAAATAACAGTGCTCTACCACAGCGTCAGTCTCAGCTCTGCCTGCAGAGTAGAGCAGAGTCCTGGGGCAGCAAAGCACATCCTGCATTCTACCTCATCACAGCGGGAAGGGCAGGACTGGTGCAGCTTCTCACTGTTTGTCTCTACTTACGGCCCCTATGCTTAAAATTCTCTTAGTAAGTAATTTCACTCTTAATTCTTGAATAAACAGTCTTTGAGAGCAAGGTAAAATACATAATCCAGGGAATAGTAATGATTTAGTTTTAGATATGATAGTTATCTATCTTGAGAAAGCTAAAGAAATAGATCCTCCTTAGAGTAGAGGAATAGAGAAATACAGAAAGAAAAATCCAGTGAGTTATATAGCTCTAGTTGGCCTGGAACTTACTAAACTATGACCTTAACTCACAGAGATCCACCTACCATGCTGGGATTAAAGATGGGCACCACCAAGCCTATTCAAGACATTACTTTTCAAAGTAGTTTTATTAATTTTAATTTGCTTATTGTGTGCATGTACACACGCACCAGAATGTGCATGAGGCGGTCCGAGAGCAACTGGTAGGAACTGGTTCTCTCTCTCTACCTGTGGGTCCTGGGGACTGCATGCAAGCTGCCAGGCTTGGTAGTAAGCAACTTTTACCTGCTGGTCATTTCATCAGCTCCAAAAAGTAGGTTCTGATAATTAACCAGTTTCTCCAGACTACAGTAGTTCAAGCTTGAGGGCCTTTAAACAACTGCAAGTCAAATGCAGACCAGTGTTTTCAAACACACAGTGCAGGTCACCAGCCAATCACTCACTGATTTTGTATGATCTGGCCGAGGGGCAATGACAGGAGGAGCAGCATCTTCATCATCATCGTCTTCCTCTGTTACTACTGCTGATGTTTCTGATCCCTTGGTATTCAGCTGCATTCATCACATGAGCAAAAAAGGAGGGTAAACCAATAAAATTAAAAGGTTAAAATGTGACTCCCCTTTTAAAATATTTTAAAGAAAAATCTATAGCTCAATAAAAACAAAAGGATTTTTTAAAAAAGTTTATTTTTTCAACAGCTCATTTAAAAACAAACTACTGGTTCTGATACAATCAATTAAAAAGTAAATGAATATATGTGGTGAATATAATTTTTGGTGGGGAGGAGGCTCTGCTAACGACTGAACCAAGGCCTGTGTATGCTATAACTGCTCTAGCACTGAACCACTGGAGTACTTACTATTCTTGCCCTTTACAGACACACACACAGTGCTCTATAAGTAGGGAATCGACTTCATGGGAGCAAAGCAAAGGTCCTCTGGATGATGTAGACACAAACCTCACTTTGAGGCATTTGAAAGATCCTGGTTTACCAGTTAATAAAGCAAGAAAAGGTGCTGGTATGTTTCAACTACTTAGAATGTGCCATAGTTTATCATACTCCGAATGGTACTGATAGGAGAAGAGACTATGCCATTCAGTTCACCATATTCAAGTTTGATACTGAAACACTGGAGAAGTAACTAAATTGCTCTGGAGGGCATTATAGAGTTTAGTGGCTTTAAAGTGCCCACCAAAATCCTATTTACTTCTTCTCTTCAACTAATCAAGTAGCTAACTTAAAACAAAAACAAAAAGTAGTTATTTATATGATGGCTAACTTTATTTTACTTTTGGTTTTTTTAAGACATGATCTTACTAGTTATCCAGTCCTTCAAATATGCAGTGAATTCACTACCTTGGTGAGTTATGAGGTTAGAGACATGAGCTATGACATCTGTTTTTATATTTTAGCAAGCAAAATAAAGATTTGTTTTAGGTAACCTAAATTAGAACATAAACTATAATAAATGATTAACTTACTGCTGGTGTTCCAGAAGGGAAGCCATCTTTCTCTAAATGTGAAACAGAAAAGACATTACCAATTTGAGAGAGAAAACAACAAACAAACAAACAAATAAATAAATGTATGTGCAAAAAGGCAGACAGGGTTTTTGCAATGTAGCTCTGGCTGGCCTGGTATCTGCTATAATCCCTGAATAAGCTTTCAAGTTTTAGACTTCATTTCTTTCGTGTGTGTATGTATTCTGCCTTCATGCATTCATGCATGTGAACATGTGTCTGGTGACCCCAGAGGTCAGAGGTTGCACTGGATCTCTTGGAACTGGAGTTAGGGATGACTGTGAGCCACCACATGGGTGCTGGAGACTGAACCAGGGTCTTCAAAGAACAACTAGCACGTCTTAACCTAATCCCTGAGCCATCTCTCCAGGAAGTTTCAATTTTTTAACAGAATTTTTTCTTTTCTTTTCTTTGAGACAGGGTCTTACTGTTGTGTATCCTTGGCTGGTGCCGATCTCAAAATGTAGACCAGAGTGGCCTTGAACTCACAAAGACCTGCCTGTCTCTGCCTCCTGTGTAATGGGATTAAGGTGTTTTTCAGCACACCCAGAAGAGTAGAAAAGCATTTTTCTTTTCTTTTTTTTTTTGGTTTTTCAAGATAGTGGAAAAGCATTTCATTTCAAAGCCTGCCATTTATTTATAAAACTCACTTCAATTTATACCACTAACAATAACTATCTCTAGCATGAGCTTGTCTATTAATTCAGACCTTTTGCCTTCTACTGCTGAAAGTCATTTAAAAGCATCCAAGAAGAAAAGACTAAATAAACAGAGTCAAAACATCCACCAACTCCATTTCTGGCAAATGATGAGGTTACTACAACCTCCGGACACTCAGTCATGGCATGGGTCAACCTCTTCACTCTCTAAAGGCAGATTTATGCAGGAGAGGAGGGACAACAGCAATCCTTCCAGTTTTTACTTTCCCAGAGGAATCTTTTCGTTTGGCAAGGCTCTGGCACTGTCTGGTGTCTTACCAGGAGGAGTGAAGCTCAAGTACTTCTGCTTCACAGTGTTGGAGTCGTAGAACTTCAAGACGTCCAGCACAGCCTGAGGGTTCTTCTTCTGCTCCAGTTTGGTAATGTTGGAGGTCTGCAGCAGTCTCGCCCACTGTTCCGGCATGCCCTAACAGGAAGAAATTCACAATTCAGTTAGGATTTGAATTGCTCCAGTAAAGAACATTTTCATAGATCAATGATAACCAACCAACACACATAAATTTTCGGCTAAAATGATGTTTGTTTTTTTAAAGTTACTATTTTTTTGATGTATGCATGAATGTTTTGTCCATATATATGCCTGTCTGTACAGTATGTGTCATGGATGGTTGTGAGTTGTGATGTGAGTGCTAGGAATTGAAACCAGGTCCTCTATAAGAACAAGTGCTAGTAACTACTGAGCCATCTCTATATAGCACCTATTTATTAGTTTTGAAACAAAGTTTTAAATATATGGCTCAGCCTGGCCTGGAACTCACAATACTACCCTCAGGTGCCTAAGCTTTGGGATTATAAAAGTATACGCTTTTCTATTTGCTTGTTTTTGAGGTAGGATTTCTCTGCGTAGCCCTGGCTATCCTGTAGACTCTGTAGCTGGGATGAAGGCTTGAGCTACCATATCCGACCAAAAGTATAATCTTTTTTTTTTTTTAAAGGACTATGTGGTCAAAGGACAGATTCTAGTGTGATACTCAGGTGGCTTCCAAAATTTGTTTGAAATAGGGTCTTCAACTGACCTAAAATGTTACAAGTACGCTGGGAATGCAGGATCACTCCCAGCATAGCATCTGGATTTTATTTGAGTTTTAGGGACCTGAATTCAGATCTTTTCATGCTTACAAAGCAAGCATTTTGCCAACTGAGCCATTACCTAGACCTAAATTTCCATTTCTCTGTATCTGTTTTTTCATAACTATAATTTATAGGCTCAGCTCGCCAGAGAAAAAGGTCATCCAATTACTAATTTCTTTAAAGATTATTTTATGAATATGAACGTTTTGCCTGTATGTATGTAATTCGGAACTACATCTCCAGCCCCAATTACTAATATTTTTATGACAAGCAAAAAACAGTAAAAAATTGATAACTAACACTAGTCATGATAGCGTGTAACCCCACTCTCTCAGGAGCATTCAGAGTTTCAGGCTTTACTGGGATCGTAGTGAGAATTTGCTTTAAAGAAACGACGACAAAGGAAAAGGAACTAATCACATGGGATAGAAAAGTTCAACACCAGTCATGTTAGCTCATAGCTGTCACCCCAGCACACAGACAGGAAGGCAGAAATAGGAGGGCTGAGTTCAAGACCAGCCTCAACAACAAAATGAGTTCATAGGAAGCTAGCCTGGGTTACATAATAATCATGTCTCAAAAAACCAGAGAGAAAAACTGATTTAAAACTTAATCCTAAAAATGCTTGAGTACGCTTTTTCCGTTTCTTGAGTATGTGCACATTTGCAGAGGTCAGAGGATCATCTCAGTCATCACTGTCTTCTACCTGGAGACAAGGTCTCTTGTTTTCACTACTTACATCATATACCACGCTAGCTGCCCTGGAGCCTTCAGAGACTCTTGTCTCCCATTACACCTTACGAGTACCACAAATACTTCTGTATTCTGTGTTGTATGCATTCTGGGGATTTAAACTTGGGTCCTCACACTTATACAGTAAGCGCTTCTCTTCACCGAGAGTTCCTGCAACCCTTCAGCACTGTTTAACTGCCATACACAAACCTCCAGTAGGTAAACTTACAGTGAACTCTCCAGTAACAGCATCAAAGCCAACATGGATGGTGTGTTCAAAATCAGATGGAGGAGAAATCTCTGGCCGTTCTTTTTCTTTCTTTTTACTTCCTAGAGGGCATGGGGGTGGGGAGAGAAAAATAATCTCTTTAAACAAGGCTATTTATGGCATTTATTATTTTGTATTTTTTCTGAAACTGATTAGGAATGAAGTTATTGCAGAAGAATCCCTATTCTGGGAACAGTGGCTGACAGGAAACTGGCACACAAACATTCATCCTGCTGGAGGGTGCCTCCAAAGACACATTTACAGAGGTCACTTGAGCAAGTTAAAGCCTTCTTTCCCTCCCCCCTCCTCCACCTTGCTTTTCTGAGACAGGGCCTCATTCTTCATCCTACAATGGCCTCAAATTAATGGTAATTCTTCGGTATCAGCCTACGGATATTAAGGTTGAACACATGAGCCACCACACCTGGCATACACTTTCCTTTTTGTTACAGTTGTAAATGTTACATCTTTAAATTACCCAACTTACCTATGGCTTCACTGCACATTTTTTTTTTTTGCACTATCAATATAACATTCTTTGCAAATTCAAACAGCAATTCCTTCTCCTCCTCCGTCTTCCTGCTCTAACCCGCAGCTTCTAAAGCTGTGGTTCTATTTCTGGATGCTCTGCTCCCCTAAAGTCATCTGTCTATCATTACGCCAATCCTGTTTACCTTGATTACTGTCATCCTCATACAAACACTGAAAGAACAGTCTAAGTCCTTATTTTTCTTTTAACTTTTTTTCAAATCTGCTGGGATTATTTCAGGTTTTCTACATTATAATATGAAATTAAGAATATTTTAAATTTCTACAAAAAGCCTTCTAGGACTGTGACAGGAATTGCATTTAATTCTATGAATCAATTTAGAGTTTATTGACACCTTGCCTTCTGACCCATGACCAACAGCAAATCTGTATTAATTAGCTATTTCTTTCAGCCTTGTCTGCTAGTACTGGAAAACAGAATACAGATCCTTCCACTACCTTCATCATACTTCTGCAGAGCAATACTTATTAATTTTTGATGCTACTAAAAATGGCAGTTTTGGGGTTAGGGAATGTAGCTCAGAGAAAGCTTGCTTGTCTAGCATGCTTGCAATCTTGGGTCAGTGCCACCAGAAAATACAAAATAAAACACATTCTTCAGGACTGATCTTGTATTCCGAGATTTTCTTCTACTTATTTTAAATTTTTTTGAGGGCACCACAGGATAAAGTAACATGCTGTGGTAAAGTAAGGAAAAGCTTGCATGCCTTTTCAAATTTGGACAATTTACTTATTCATTTATTTACTTATTTAGCCTAATTAAATTGGCTAGTCTCTAGTCTACAACATGGTTCAATGAAGGTGGGTATTTATTTATTTATTTATTTATTTTTTTAACCTGTGTCCTGGCTTCCTGGAACTCACTTTGCAAACCAGGCTGTCCTTGAACTCAGAGATGCTGGGATTAAAGGTGAGGTATTTGGTCCTCACCCATTGCCTTTTTAAAACACTGTTGGATTACCACTGTAAAGATTTTGCCAAAGCCAGGCGGTGGTGGCGCATGCTTTTAATCCCAGCACTTGGAAGGCAGAGGCAGGCGGATCTCTGGGAGTTCGGAGGCCAACCTGTTTTACAAGAGCTAGTTCCAGGATAGGCACCAAAGCTACAGAGAAACCCTGTCTCGAAAAACCAAAAAAAAAAAAAAAAAAAAATTTTTTTTTTTTTTGCCAAGATTGTCTGTCTATGTTCAAGAAATGTGTAGCTCTCTCTCTTTAGTAATGTTTTTGATTTGGGTATTCAGGCACCGTGAAGCTCATTAAATGTGTTGGGAAACATTACCTCTATTCAATCTTCTGGAAATTGTATAGAACTGGTAATTACTTCTCCCTTAAATAGTTCATTGATGTACTAATGAAGCCAGGCAGGTCATAAGATTTTCTTTGTGGAAAGATGTAGACAGAAGTTTCTGTCCCATACAGTTCTGCAACCATTCAGTACCAAATGAACAGAGTTTTATATTAATTATAAACTATTTGGCCTATTGCTCAGGCTAATTACTAACTAGCGCTTACAACTATTTCACCCATAATACTTATCTATGTTTAGCCATGCGTGTTGGTACTTTTTCTCGGTAAGGCATTTTCATCTTGCTTCCTCTGCATCTGGCTTATGATTGCCTTTCTTCTTCTCTCAATTCTCTTAGTGTGGTTGCCCTGCTTACTCTTCCTGATTAAACCAATATTAGTGACAAATCTTTACAGTGTACAAGAGCATTGTACAAGTACACAGCAGAAAGAGTTTAGCTTTTCTAGGAAATACGGTCTTCTTTAATCTTTTCTTTCTTTTTTTAAAATAAGTGTTGAAAATCTGTATCTTTTAAGAAAAGAAATTTCAGTCAGGTAGTGTCAAGCACACACTTTTAATCACAGCACTTGGGAAGCAGATGCAGGTGGATCTCTGTGAGTTCGAGGCCAGCCTGGTCTACAGAGCGAGTACCAGGACAGCCAGGCCTACACAGAGAAACCCTGTATTGGCAGATAAAATAATTCATTTTCCATAATTTGAATTTGTCAGTACATACTTGTACAAAACACTACCTTGTGTCTTCTCAGTGGAGACTGAACCTGGACTCTATATGTTCTACCTTGACTTTTACCCCCAACCCCAGCAAACCTTTGATTCTACCCTAACATGTAAGTTCATACAAAAATGTTATATAAAGAAGTGGATTTCCTAAAGGTAGTTTTGGCTACTTTACTTATTGTTTTTGCAATCACTCGAACCAAGTTTTATTATTCTCTTCCATCTCTTGTGTCACATCTACCTGTTTAAACTGTACAATCCAATGAATTTTAGTATATCTAGAATTCCATAAAATTATCACCATGTAACTAGCATATTTTTATCATCCCCTAAAGAAACCTTGTATCCATTAACACTTTTACCTTACTGTAACCCTTCATCAAATAATAATTTTTTTCAGTATTATTTATTTTCATGTGTATGTGGATATGCCTGCTTGAGAATACGTCCACTGCTTGTGTGCAAGGTACCTCAAAGGCCAGAAGACATTAGATGATCTAGAAATGGAGTTACAGCAAGCTGTCAGCTGTACGCTGTGAGTATTGGGAACCGAACCTAGGTCCTCTCTAAGAACAGCAGTGCTCAGCAATCTTGACCACTGACTCATCTGTTTATCCTCCAGTTTTTTTTAAAAAAAGTAATTGTTTTTCTTAACATGTGTTAGTATTTTATACAAGTATATAAGTGATGTAGGAGGGTTGGTCATCTGTCTATGTGTTACTTTCATTATATAAAGAAGTGGATTTCAGGTTCTCTACATTATAATATGAAATTAAGAATATTTTAAATTTCTACAAAAAGCCTTCTAGGACTGTGACAGGAATTGCCTTGGCCCTTTGATAGGACAGAAAATTAGGTAGGCCGAGTAAACAGAACAGGATGCTGGGTAGAAAGCAGTGAGGCAGCTGCCATGGGGTCAGACGCCATGGAGCCAGCCGCCAGGTCAGACATGCTGAATCTTTCCCGGTAAGCCACTACTTTGTGGTGCTACACAGATTATTAGAAATGGGTTAGTCAAGATGTGAGAATTGGCCAATAAGAGGCTGAAACGAATGGACCAGGCAGTGTTTAAATGAATACAGTCTCCCTGTAATTATTTTGGGTGTTAAGCTAGCCGTGCGGGAGCCGGGCGGGACAAAAAGCAGGCCTGCCTGCAGCTCCTTCTACATATAAGCATACCACCTATGTGAAGTGCTCATGGAGGTCAGAAAATAGCATCGGATCCCTAGAATTGGAGCTTCAGATGGTTGTGAACCATTCTGTGGGTACTAGGAATCAAACCCAGGTCTTTGCAGGAGCAGCACGTGCTCTAACAGTAAGTCACCTTCCGGCCATGGATCTTTCCCCCTATTATTTCTATTTCCCTTGTGCTATTTAATTTGTTCATTATTTGCAACATATGACTGTTTTCTTTTACATTTCCCATCTGGGTGCTTTGAAAAAAAAACTGTGGGAGAATTTTCTTGATTATTTTATCAATATTTCTCAATAATTTCCTCCTATCACATTTGTTCTGTTAATTTTTAATACTGATTATCCAAGAATTATTTCTCTTCATTCTTCAATCATTTCTTCTTTCTGAAAACCCTTATCTTGTTCATGAACTTGTCTTTGTTCCTGAAAGACCATGTTGTAGGTAGATACATGATGTAGACTGGGTTTTCTGGTTGTTGGTTTTCTCTAAAGTGGAAGGTTTCTAACTTTCTGTTTAATAAAACTACCTGATTTTTGGAGTCAGAGTCTTGCTATCTGGCCCCAGCTAGCCTTTATTTCACTTAGTAATCCAGGCAGGCCTCAAAGGCATGTGCTATCCGGTGCTCTAGACGTTTTCTTCAGATGTCTGGTGACTCACTGCTGTTCACTCTTACAGAAAAACATTACACAACTAACTGGGAGACCAGCTAGATCAAAGATGAGGATGAGGCTCAGGGTATATAAAGCACCTTCCTCCAAAACACTCTGCTTATCCAGAGAAAGCCCCCACGTCTAGTCTGAGGGCCAGGACAGACACAAAGTCCTGGGAACGTCCACAAGACAGAGGAAAGGAGCTCTCTGTGATGACTTGGACCAAATCTGTATTTTTTTATTCTGATGCCTAAACTTTTCTCCCCTCCATACAGTCTTTAAATCCTGAGTCACTCAGATTTTTTTTTTTTTTTTTTTTTTTAAATTTTCCAGACAGGGTCTCTCTGTAGCTTTGGAGCCTGTCCTGGAACTAGCTCTTGTAGAACAGGCTGGCTTTGAACTCACAAAGATCCGCCTGCCTGTCTCCGAGTGCTGTGATTAAAGGCGTGCGCCACCACCGCCCAGCTGTCACTCAGATTCTTAAGAGAGAAAAATGGATCCCTTCTCTCACACACTCCATTTTGCAATCGCCATCTCTCTGTCCACTCAGGCAGGTGTCTTCTTTCCACTGCAATCTTCCCAGTGCACATGAGAATCTTGGACACTACTGCCTTTTCCTTTCCTTTACCCTTATAGTGACTTAAAA